AATTTTGCCCCGAGGGGCGAGTTTATTGGGCAGCGCCACTCATCCTGTGAGTGGACACACCGCCATAGTGACAGTATTGGGCAGCGTCACTCAGTCTGTGAGTGGTCACACTGCCATTGTGACAGTATTGGGCAGCGCCACTCATCCTGTGAGTGGTCACACCGCCATAGTGACAGTATTGGGCAGCGCCACTCATCCTGTGAGCGGACACACCGGCATAGTGACAGTATTGGGCAGCGCCACTCCTCCTGTGAGTGGACACACCGGCATAGTGACAGTATTGGGCAGCGCCACTCATCTTGTGAGTGGACACACCGCCATAGTGACAGTATTGGGCAGCGCCACTCATCCTGTGAGTGGACACACCGCCATAGTGACAGTATTGGGCAGCGTCACTCATCCTGTGAGTGGACACACCGCCATAGTGACAGTATTGGGCAGCGCCACTCATCCTGCGAGTGGACACACCGCCATAGTGACAGTATTGGGCAGCGTCACTCATCCTGTGAGTGGACACACCGCCATAGTGACAGTATTGGCCAGCGCCACTCATCCTGTGAGTGGACACACCGCCATAGTGACAGTATTGGGCAGCGTCACTCATCTTATGAGTGGGCACACCGCCATAGTGACAGTATTGGGCAGCGCCACTCATCCTGTGAGTGGACACACCGCCATAGTGACAGTATTGGGCAGCGCCACTCATCTTATGAGTGGACACACCGCCATAGTGACAGTATTGGGCAGCGCCACTCATCGTGTGAGTGGACACACCACCATAGTGACAGTATTGGGCAGCGCCACTCATCCTGTGAGTGGACACACCGCCATAGTGACAGTATTGGGCAGCGTCACTCATCCTGTGAGTGGACACACCGCCATAGCAGCATATACAACACTCCCCAATAGGAAGAAAACCCGCTGGGTTGTTCATCCTGTCACTTGTACCCAGACACAGCTGGGACTTGCTTAACTGTCTCAAGTGAACAATTGATCAATCAAGAAGATTAAAAGCTTACGTTATCTTGCGGGTGCACAATGGGGAAATCTTTTAAGAACAGTATCAATATTTGACAAATAGAATTTTCCTAACTCAAACAATGTGGAGTTTAGTATTCTACACATATTTCTGATGTCTCTCAGGTGTTCACATTCACGTAAGATGTCAACAGAACATTAATATTTGGATATATAAATGTTTGTTGTAGAAAGTATTCAGAGGTGGACTGTTGCATATATTTATATACTAATTTATACATATAAACCGGACCAAAAAAAACTATAATGCCAAATATGTTTTCAAAGGATGAAAATATATTGCATATCCAGTGGAAAAAAAGATAGAGAATAATGATACAAAAAAGATACTCTGTGCCCAGTAACTAAAGAATGTTTCATTAAACAATGAAGAGCACCTGGAAGTTCGAAAATTCTTCGCCAAATAAGAAATGAAGGGTAGAACAACCACCTAGCTTCTCTGAGGTCGGCGTTCGATTCCCGATGGTCCAAATAGATGGTCACATTTCCTTCACTCCGTTCCCTAATCCTAGCTTATATCCTTCTCTTAAATCCTCTCCAAATCCTCCAAAATCCAACTTGCTTAAGCACTTTCTCCTGATAAGTAACTTAAAAACTGAGACGTTTGAAACAAGTTCAATTTTCCCCAAATGGAATCAGAAAATTCATTGAATAAGTTCATTATGAAGTGAGGTTTTGTATTATGTATACCGTGAACATGGCCCCCTTCACTAGTGACGTCATTCCTGTATAAGATAACATTTAGAGTTAAGTAAGATAACATTCTAAGATAATCATATTAACATGAAAACTTCTGTATACAAACAGGATAACCTCTGTAGGGCGTATAATGCCTTATGTAAGATAACGAAATATCTTATAACTGATGCCATTATAACTTATGTAGGACAGGATACTAATGTCTAAACGATAACACAATATCATAAGAAGAATGACACAATAACTTCCGTCAGATAACATAAACATAATGACTTATGTTAGATAAAAAAATGATTAAAGTTAGATAAAATACTTTCTTATGTAGAACGATATCATTACACTTGACATAATATAACACAAACATGTGTAAGATAGCACAATTAACGACACTAACAATAAAGTTCACAGTAAACGACAGGGTGTACGAAGTTTACAATTAACGACACAAAGTTTAAAGTTTACTGTAAATGACCCTTCCAAAAGAATACAATAATACTCAAACAAAACAACACCAAACTTCACCAATCTCGACAAAATACAATATTTGTCAATAGCATAAAAAGGCAAAAAAAAAATTCAATCAGAGCCTTCAAAAAGAAAATATAGACATGAAACAAAGGTCATATGCTTCTATAAATACGCTGTATTTGTTGTTTTTTAATAATTTTTTTGTGTTATAACTTGTGAAGAGTGATAAGTGAGCTCTCCTTTACGGGCTATTCATGCCCGTGCCACCTTGAGGGTGGCTTAATCTTTATCAATCGAATGAGCTCTCACGGGAGACATCTCCCGTCACGCAGGGTGCAGTCGCACCTCCACAGATCTCCAGCATCAGCTCTTGATACTGGTAATGGCTCAAAAGGGCCACCACTTACGGGCTATTCATGCCCGTGCCACCTTTTGGGTGGCTTAATCTTCATCAATCATCGAATGAGCTCTAAAATCTACTACGGGCTCACCATAGCCCGTGCTACTTGGAACTTTTTGTTCCAAGTAGCCAATCTTAAATAACAAAGTATGAACAAACAAAGTATAGGGAGCCGGTCGGCCGAGCGGACAGCACGCGGGACTTGTGATCCTGTGGTCCTGGGTTCGATCCCAGGCGCCGGCGAGAAATATTGGGCAGAGTTTCTTTCACCCTATACCCCTGTTACCTAGCAGTAAAATAGGTACCTGGGAGTTAGTCAGCTGTCACGGGCTGCTTCCTGGGGGTGGAGGCCTGGTCGAGGACCGGGCCGCGGGGACACTAAAGCCCCGAAATCATCTCAAGATAACCTCAAAATGATCTCAATAGTACTTAGCGGCCCAGCATTTGACACAATAAAAAGCTCTATAACATGAAGTTTTAAACGTATATGTGACATAAACAATGCTGGCTTAGTTACTGCAAGGTGAACAGAGTTATTAGACGATAGAAAATGACCCCCAAACGTTTCCGTCTCCCTCGAAGCCGGAATTCGCGATTGCCAGTCGAGAACGCACCCATTTGCACTACCGAGACCCCACGCTTCCAATCCATTGTATAAACTACAGAAACACTATTATATTGCCACTGATTGTATATCTGCTATATTGCTATAGTGTTATATCAGCTGTTATATTGCTGGGATAGGTTAACACAGCACAGCCCCGGAACCCAATATAACTTGCATCAGGGTGAATGAAACATTTTGCCCATTTGTCTCCGCCTCCACCGGGGATCGAACCTGGAACCTCCGAACTATGAATCCGAAGCGCTGTCCACTCAGCCGATAGGCGCTCCGTCCCCCCCCCTTCCCCCCGAGGTCGGAAGTCACTACATTAGACAATGAATGGTTAAAAGAAGGCGGGGTCCAAGAGCTAAGAGCTCGATCCTGCAGGCACACACACACACACACACACACACACACACACACACACACAGGCGTGTGTGTGTGTGTGTGTGTGTGTGTGTGTGTACTCACCTATTTGTACTCACCTATTTGTGCTTGCAGGATCGAGCATTGACTCTTGGATCCCGCCTTTCTAGCTATCGGTTGTTTACAGCAATGACTCCTGTCCCATTTCCCTATCATACCTAGTTTTAAAAGTATGAATAGTATATGCTTCCACAACCTGTTCCCCAAGTGCATTCCATTTTTCTACTACTCTCACGCTAAAAGAAAACTTCCTAACATCTCTGTGACTCATCTGAGTTTCCAGTTTCCACCCATGTCCCCTCGTTCTGTTATTATTACGTGTGAACATTTCATCTATTTCCACTTTGTCAATTCCCCTGAGTATTTTATATGTCCCTATCATATCTGTGTGTGTGTGTGTGTGTGTCATCAACATCCTACATGTCGATGTTTGCGGATGACGCAAAGTTGATGAGAAGAGTTGTGACAGATGAGGATTGCAGGATCCTCCAAGAGGACCTGAACAGGTTGCAGAGATGGTCAGAGAAATGGCTACTGGAGTTCAACACGAGCAAATGTAAAGTTATGTAAATGGGACTAGGAGATAAGAGACCAAAGGGACAGTACACAATGAAGGGGAACAGCCTACCTGTAACGACGCGTGAAAGAGACCTGGGGGTGGACGTAACACCTAATCTATCTCCTGAGGCACATATAAATAGGATAACGACAGCAGCGTACTCTACACTGGCAAAAGTTAGAACATCATTCAGAAACCTAAGTAAGGAGGCATTTAGGGCGCTTAACACTGCCTACGTGAGGCCAGTCTTAGAGTATGCCGCCTCATCATGGAGTCCCCATCTGAAGAAGCATATAAGGAAACTGGAAAAGGTTCAGAGGTTTGCAACGAGACTCGTCCCAGAGCTACGAGGGATGGGGGTATGAGGAGCGCCTGAGGGAACTGTGCCTTACGACACTAGAAAGAAGAAGGGAGAGGGGGGGACATGATAGGAACGTATAAAATACTCAAGGAAATTGACAGAGTGGACATAAACGAAATGTTCACACGGAATAGTAACAGAACGAGGGGACATGGATGGCAGCTTGAAACTTAGATGAGTCACAGAGATGTTAGGAAGTTTTCTTTTAGCGTGAGAGTAGTGGGGAAATGGAATGCACTTGGGGAACAGGTTGTGGAAGCAAATACTATTACTAATTTTAAAACCAGGTATGATAGGGAAATGGGACAGGAGTCATTGCTGTAAACAACCGATGCTCGAAAGGTGGGATCCAAGAGTCAATGCTCGATCCTGCAGACACAACTAGGTAAGTACAGGTGCAGCCTCTCAAATACTTCCTCATCTCCATCACTCCTGCTGAAGCATCCTACTCCTTAGTGTAAACATTACTGGCAATATCTTCATATTGTGTTGGCTTGGGGGAGGACGTGCTCTGAGTGTTGGAGGACGTGCTCTGAGTGTTGGACGGCGTGCTCTGAGTGTTGGACGGCGTGCTCTGAGTGTTGCAGGGCGTGCTCTGAGTGTTGGACGGCGTGCTCTGAGTGTTGGAGGGCGTGTTCTGAGTGTTGGAGGGCGTGCTCTGAGTGTTGGAGGGCGTGCTCTGAGTGTTGGAGGACGTGCTCTGAGTGTTGGAGGGCGTGCTCTGAGTGTTGGAGGGCGTGCTCTGAGTATTGGAGGGCGTGCTCTGAGTGTTGGAGGACGTGCTCTGAGTGTTGGAGGACGTGCTCTGAGTGTTGGAGGGCGTGCTCTGAGTGTTGGAGGGCGTGCTCTGAGTGTTGGAGGGCGTGCTCTGAGTGTTGGAGGACGTGCTCTGAGTGTTGGAGGGCGTGCTCTGAGTGTTGGAGGGCGTGCTCTGAGTATTGGAGGGCGTGCTCTGAGTGTTGGAGGACGTGCTCTGAGTGTTGGAGGGCGTGCTCTGAGTGTTGGAGGGCGTGCTCTGAGTGTTGGAGGGCGTGCTCTGAGTGTTGGAGGGCGTGCTCTGAGTGTTGAAGGGCGTGCTCTGAGTGTTGGAGGGCGTGCTCTGAGTGTTGGAGGGCGTGCTCTGAGTGTTGGAGGGCGTGCTCTGAGTATTGGAGGGCGTGCTCTGAGTGTTGGAGGGCGTGCTCTGAGTGTTGAAAGGCGTGCTCTGCAAGTTGATAATGTTGGAGATCATTGCAAATCTTGAGAAAATTGCCGAGAATTGCAGTTCGTAAGTGAAAGACAATGTTATGAATGGTAAAAAAGATTTTAGAGATTTGTGAGTTACTGGAAGTTAAGAGCCAGTAACTGTCGGTTGTGAGTCGTGAGTTTGTGAGAATACAGGAGTGAGAATTTGTGAGTGTATTGATAAGATGAGTCATATTCTTCAATCTATTTTCCTCGTCAAATTTAACTTTTGCAGTGGTTTTGTTTAACTAAATGCGTCAGAACGTAGTGAAACCCACCTATGACCCCCTACCTAACCCACCTAATCCACCCACAATAACCCACCCAACCCACCCACCCCCACCTACCCCACCCAACCCACCCACCCCCACCTACCCCACCTAACCCACCCACCCCCACCTACCCCACCCAACCCACCCACCCCCACCTACAACCCCCCCACCTACCCACCCCCACCTACCCCACCCAACCCACCCAACCCACCCACCCCCACCTACCCCACCCAACCCACCCAACCCACCTCACCCTGTCGTTAATCATCATTAGTCCTGAGAACCGTAAATTTGGCATCATTTTCAATGTTACCAAACGACTTAATTTCGCTCGAAACAAGACTGTCACATTTTGGTCGAAATCGTTAAAATTGTGGTGTATTAAGCACGTGAACTGACTGGGATCTTTGGCTAAGAATCACCGAGTATTTACACAACTACTGACGAAACCAGTACATCTTTTCTCAACCAATACGGCTTTGGTGACACTAATCAGTAGAGAGATGTAAGGTAAACTGATTCAACTCGCTTGATACACATTAGATAATATCAGTCTAATCAGTAGAAAGCTGAATCTAATCTCATAAACGTCTATAACAGCTGCAGCTGATCAAGAAAGATTAACAGCTTAAGGCTAAGAGTTTAAGTTCTTAGCACTTTGCTCTAATGAACAGACATTGTTCAGTCCTTTTCAATCCTTTTCTGCAACCTATTGCCGGCAGTCTGGTGTTGTAATGGGGTAGTTGCCTTTCTTGTCTCCAATTTGCTCTCTCAGTGGCAGAAAAGCCTTGACAACGGTGTCAAAAGTAATCTTTGAGAACGGTGTCAAAAGTAATCTTTGAGAACGGTGTCAAAAGTAAGCTTTGAGAACGGTGTCAAAAGTAATCTTTGACCACGGTGTCAAAAGTAATCTTTGACTTACGGTGTCAAAAGTAAGCTTTGAGAACGCTGTGAAAAGTAAGCTCCTAATTTTCAGTGTTTAAGAGAGGTAGAGCCCGCTAGGGGCTCACCTCGCCGGCGACAGAGCTCACTGTGGGATCATATTGTTAGTTGATTAGCTTGATAGGGGCTCACATAGTTGGTGGAGGAGCTTACTAAGGGCATACATGGTTGCTGAAGGAGCTTGCTGAGGGCTTAAATAGTTGTTGGAGGAGATTGCTAAGGGCTTAAATAGTTGGTGGAGGAGCTTACTAAGGGCTTAAATAGTTGGTGGAGGAGCTTACTAAGGGCTTACATAGTTATTGGAGGAGCTTGCTAAGGGCTTAAATAGTTGTTGGAGGAGATTACTTAGGGCTTACATATTTGTTGGAGGAGCTTAAATAGTTGGTGGAGCTCAGGAGGGAGTGTTACCATGGAGTGGAGTGTGGCAGAAACAGTGAGTGTCGGAAACGTTTGGGGTATTCCCCAGACACAAACGCTGAAGGCATTACAGATAAAATAAAGGAACTTCACGTGGGTGAAACATGAAAATCTATCTTCGTATTATAACAAAAATCACGGGCTTCTCACATTAGTGGGAAGCACATGATTCACTCTCACTAATTCTCATTCATTGTAATTGTTAAATAACCTGAAATGAATAATTCTACAACTTGAAAACAAAACAATACTTAATTCAGTAGTCGACTCATGTATGTTGACTCTGTCGTTCAAGCTTATATCATCACTAATAGTATCTTTTTTACATAAAAAGATAACTATTGGAAATGTATACTGTTATTTATATAAGCAGAAACACTTGTTCATTTAATATTTTCCAGATTAATATGCAATTATAACACCAAATTTCAATAAAATCCTAAACTATTCCCAACACGTTTTTCATTTATAATTTTATTATTTTCTGGAAGTGGCACCTGTATGCATAGCAGTAAATTGCGAAAGTTGCGAGAAAATACACCTTGAAAAAAATGTAAATCTGCAAATGAATGTTAAAGTTTACCAATTAAATGTTTTTATGTAAATACTCACAGGGACTCAAGTAAGTTTTTCCCTGACCTACACACACTCTCGCTCACAAGGACATATATGAAGGAACAGAATCTTGGCTGAACACGCTGTTGAACACAGTACAGTGCCAGTGAACAGTGCCAGGTAGAGAACAGTGCCAGACAGAGAACAGTGCCAGACAGAGAACAGTGCCAGACAGAGAACAGTGCCAGACAGAGAACAGTGCCAGACAGTGAACAGTGCCAGCCAGTGAACAGTGCCAGCCAGTGAACAGTGCCAGCCAGTGAACAGTGCCAGACAGTGAACAGTGCCAGACAGTGAACAGTGCCAGACAGTGAACAGTGCCAGACAGTGAACAGTGCCAGACAGTGAACAGTGCCAGGTAGAGAACAGTGCCAGGTAGAGAACAGTGCCAGACAGTGAACAGTGCCAGATATTGGGGAGGGAGGGGAAAGCAAAAAATACAATGTTATTGTTGAAGAACTTTGCTTCTAAGTTTTGTGTTCGTGGTGACTTAGATAGCTATTGTGGCCTCTGTGTGACAGTGGAAGAGCACAGCTGTCTGCTCTCTCCCACGGTGGCGCCCCAGCAGGACTGTCTGCTCTCTCCCACGGTGGTAGGGGGAACGAGACAGCTTGTGCCCTCCCATTTCCATGGGATAACAGTTGTATGTTGACCAGACCACACACTAGAAGGTGAAGGGACGACGACGTTTCGGTCCGTCCTGGACCATTCTCAAGTCGATTGTGATGAGGAAGTAGAGACAGGCAAGAAATAGGTAAGAGAGAGGTGAGGAGCAAAGTAAGGTGTAGAAGATGGGATAGTAGTAGGAATAAGAACTGCAGAAGATATATATATATATATATATATATATATATATATATATATATATATATATATATATATATATATATATATATATATATATATATTGGTAACAGTCTTTCCTGCAGACATAGTGTGAGAGACAATGATTCTAACGCGAATATTTTCTATATTATCTTCTAAAATACTAAGAAAATAGGGAAGATTTGAGGCAGAATCATTGATATAAACCTTTTGTCCTCATTCAATAATATATATGTTAGATATAATGATGGTAGCTATTATGCTAGAAGATATAATATTAGCCATAATGAATGTAGATATAGCGATATATATACGATGGAAGATACAATAGTGGTAGGCTGAACTTTGAAGAGAGAGTTATTTGGCAGTCAAGTTAAAAGTAGAGGCACATGGCTAGTGAACGCTAGGGGCTAGGAGCTAGGAGCTAGGAGCTAGGGGCTAGGGGATAGGGGCTAGGGGCTAGGAGCTAGGAGCAAGGGGCTAGGGGAATATAGCCATGGTTCTAACGGTGTTGGACTCGGTACAGAACCTGCAATTAATGGGCACACACACTAGACAAATCGAGGTTTAGGAGAGAGAGAGAGAGAGATATAGGCTAGTAATGGCTTGGAAATACAGTGTGTGTGGGATGGAATTAATGGTTTATCGATTAACAGGATTAACAGGTATCAGGAATAGATTGGACAGGTGTATGGGTGAGAGAGTATACATAGGACTCGACTTGGACCTACGAACCGCCGTATGTGGGATTTTAACGATGAAAAATGTTAATTAACACATTCAGCAGACATCTGATTATTGTGAAATTCAGTGAAATCACTTCTACTCACCTGAGGTCACTGCTGCCCCCACCTGGGAGGTCATATATAATAAAGGTGACCACTTTAAGGTCAGTGAACAGTTGTGGACGCTGTAACCACTCACAACCACAAGTTATAACGCTGTGCATCTATAGTTGTTATTATGTAAATTATCTTCATGATTTCCAAGTGGTGGAGAGTTGGGTTAACTCAAGTTCAGTCAATCATGTAATTGGAATTTGCAGAATTTCATGCATTTGTAATTAGTGTTAGTAGACATGGTCAACTGCGCTCTATCGGTTGAGTGCAGTTGATATCAGTAGCGCTCTGAACACGAGCCATGTGCTATGTTCAGTGAACACTCTCCCTAATGTGCTATGTACAGTGTGCACTCTCCCTAATGTGCTATGTTCACTGTGCACTCTCCCTAATGTGCTATGTTCAGTGAACACTCTCCCTAATGTGCTATGTTCACTGTACACTCTCCCTAATGTGCTATGTTCAGTGTACACTCTCCCTAATGTGCTATGTTCACTGTACACTCTCCCTAATGTGCTATGTTCAGTGTACACTCTCCCTAATGTGCTATGTTCACTGTACACTCTCCCTAATGTGCTATGTTCACTGTACACTCTTCCTAATGTGCTATGTTCACTGTACACTCTCCCTAATGTGCTATGTTCACTGTACACTCTCCCTAATGTGCTATGTTCACTGTACACTCTCCCTAATGTGCTATGTTCACTGTACACTCTCCCTAATGTGCTATGTACAGTGTGCACTCTCCCTAATGTGCTATGTTCAGTGTACACTCTCCCTAATGTGTTATGTTCAGTGTACACTCTCCCTAATGTGCTATGTTCAGTGTACACTCTCCCTAATGTGCTATGTTCAGTGTACACTCTCCCTAATGTGCTATGTTCAGTGTACACTCTCCCTAATGTGCTATGTTCAGTGTACACTCTTCCTAATGTGCTATGTTCACTGTATACTCTCCCTAATGTGCTATGTACAGTGAACACTCTCCCTAATGTGCTATGTACAGTGTACACTCTCCCTAATGTGCTATGTTCAGTGAACACTCCCCCTAATGTGCTATGTTCACTGTACACTCTCCCTAATGTGCTATGTTCAGT